TACCGCCACCAACTGAACGCCAACAAAGCCCTCCACAAATCCCCCACAAGCACCTCAACAAGCCCTCCACAAATCCACCCACAGCACCTCCAACAAATCCCCCAACAGAACCACCAACTCCATCCCCAACTGAGTCTCCGACAGAGCCTCCCACTCCATCGCCAACTGACCCTCCAACAGAGATGCCTACGGATCCTCCCACAGATCCTCCAACACCAGGGCCTCCCACTTCCTCTCCAACGGATCCGCCCACCAATGCCCCCACCCCATCCCCTACGGAGCCCCCCACAGAACCACCCACTCCCTCCCCAACAGAGTCTCCAACAGAGCCTCCCACTCCATTGCCAACTGACCCTCCAACAGAGCCTCCCACTCCATCCCCTACAGATCCACCCACACTGGATCCAACTGAGGCACCAACCGACCCACCTACTCCTTTGCCTACAGAGTCTCCAACAGAACCACCTACTCCATCTCCAACTGAGCCTCCAACAGAGTCCCCAACTCCATCACCAACGATTCCTTGTGGTGTCAACAAAGCTACGTGCAATGCTGATAGTGAGTGCTGTTCCGGAAAGTGTAATCAAGGCACATGTCGTGGAAATCGAAGACGATTGGGGGAACCATTCTTTTAGACCACTTATCCTTTGATTGATCTCAGCAATTGAGACAATCCTATAGTAGACCACGGGCTCAAAAGAGCCAGAAATGATAGGCCCTAGCTGGCCTGCTTTCTAGATTGAATATGGAACTATAAATTTATGTGCATAACCAAGATGAACAATGAATGAAACTCCTGGCTGGTACCAGACCCAGCTGGCTACTGTAGATAGCTCGTGGCCAAAGGTTAGGTAACAGCAGTATGCGATGCTGCTAACACTGAAGCAAAGCATTGGCTTTTAAGCTCAAGAAAGAAGCTGCTCTACCATAATTGGGGTTTCATTCATTCAAATGATTGTCTCATGCACTTGTTCAAGTAAGTTCCCTTGAACTAGTGCCTCGGAGGGTGCTGCGGATAAATATCCAATCCGCAGGCTTATCCGCGGATGTCGGATAATGGGAGGCACTTTGCTGACCAATCTCCGAGGCTGAAAGCAGGGACCATGGCGCTCTCGGAGAGTCTTCCGCCGCTCAAAAGGCAACATCTGTAAGCAGTAGAGAGTGTGTTTGATTCAACAAGTCAGTTATAGCAGTTGATTGTTAAGATTTTCAGGTGTTCTTGTTGTTGTTTGTGATTTTCGAGGCGATAAGATAATTGACGACGGAGCAACTTGGATATCAAGATAATAGACATTCCAACAGCTCTCAGCTCAATATCCTTTCTTCCGACAGTCGTCTCTGTGGAGTTGAATACACGACTTTGAATTGTTGACCAGCTTTCTCCGAGCAATGATAGGTCGCACCTTGTTGCAAACAGGAACTCCATAGTAAGTGCTGTCGCCATACCCTCGCTCTGCCTCTCTGCACGTCTTATGGGCACACTCATTTCGTGTGTCGCTTCCACAGATAACACATCGCCGCTTGGTTCCTTGGCTGCTGTTGTCCTTGACTCTTTGAACCATCACTTCATGGTGATCTGTGTTTCTGTTGTTGCCGCTGGAAGAAAAGAAAGCTCCTGTTGTTGCTGTGGACATCGGAGATGCATCTTCCAGTCCTCCGCAGCATCGAATAGTCATGTTCTGGAGCCGTTCAGCTGCTTGCTCCACACCCAAACCGCGGAGCAAGACATTGGGAAAATTTGAGCTGCCGCGAGTCGACAAATCTGCTTGAGATTCCATGTCATGGAGACCATCTGCCACAATGTCGCCTTGAGCTGTTGCTGCCGCTCCATTGAATGGGTTGTGAAAGCAATCATGGGCAAGTCTATCAGCGAATTCTTCCACAGTAATGTTGGCAAATTGAGCTGGAAGTCGATATTTGAGAGCCTTCCAACAATCGATAACAGTGACGCCGATAATGGTGGTGATGTTTCGAAACCAAGGATTTTGTGTGGCCCAATATTTCTCTAACCCAAGAAGATCTTGTCTGGCTTGGTTGTGTGCATCAATGAGGTTGGACGCACCAAAGTAAGTCGATAGCGCATGAGGTCGACTGACAGCTCTTTCCTTGACATTGCCGAAGGGATCCGGAAACCTCGCGATATAGGACTTGCCCTCAAGCGTGGATGCGGCATCTTTGGTCATCACAAAGCAGAGGACCTTCTTCGAATTGTATTTGTATCCAATCGCAACAAGCTCCACGTTGGATTCAGGAAGAGTGGTCGCCATGACAAGGTGGGACCCAGCTGGCCAATCTTTCATCTTCTTTTCAATGTCCTTCTTTGGAAACCAACCGGTGGCTGTCTTGACGGCAGCGATGAACTCATGGCCTTTGGTTGGATCGTTGTTCTTCGACGCCGGATCGATGATATATCCTTTGAATGAGTCAAAGTCTGCAAAATAGCCATCCGAGTCGTCTGTTGGGTCATCGTCAGTCTTCCTCCGGAGCGATTTCATGGCTTCAGCACACCGAACAGAGCCAAACCAAGAGTCTGCAATGATGATGTGTCGGCGCTCTGCCTTTTGTAGCTGCATTCTTTCCTTCGTAGCAATGCCAGTGTGGGTACCACCAATGGTAAGTCGAAGAGTGCAAGCAGCAGTGGCTCCAACCTTCGATTGAAAAGCCTTTCGTCTCATCGGTTTCGCTCCACGCTGGATCTCCATGTATGTGATGATCCCAGTCGCTGTATCGGCAGCGCACTTGTACTCTGTTCCGAGAGGCTTTGGCTTTCGGAAAATAAAGGAAAGAAATGGCAACAGTGAGGATTTTGTGGAGCGTGGACGGAATGGACTCATCAGCTCATCGAGTACTCTTTCGAACTGGCCAACCACCCAACGTTTCCGATTGTCATTAAAATCCTCAACCAATTGAACGATCGGATGCCATGGATCGTCGGGGTTGCTACCATCGTCAAAGGCCAAATGGAGCCTCTCTTTGATCTTCTTGAAGCGATCATAAGACATGACTTTCTTGCCAGCTTGTCCTGTTATCTCATCAAATTTGCTCTCATCCACGCTGACGTCAATGACTGGTGCGAGTCGACCTTTCTTTCTCTCCTTTTCAAACAGTTTCTCTCCTCCTTTGTGGCAAGGACAAGCGACGAAGATAACACCGAAAACAATCCACCACTCTCGCTCCGAGACAGATCTAATCGTCTTCTTCTTTGCATTTCGGACGTTGGGGTTTGCAAGCATCTGTCGATTGGATTCTTCGATGGCTTTGTTGAGGTTCTGCAGGTGTCCTCGCCAGTCACCAGGCCACAAATGAATCAGCAAACTGAGGAATGGGTAGCTGTACGTTGCTTCGTCTGGATCTGCATTATCCTGAAACGCCTCCTGGAATTTGAAGCCAGCGACACCTGCATTCCGAGCTTGCTCTACTGGATGTGTTGGCGTCGATTGCTCAACTGCTTTCCAAGTAACATTGCGTTTGTCCTTCACCAATTGGAGCTTCTTGGATGAGATCCTCTTCTCAGGTGCATCGGCGTTTGGGAAATGAATTGACCAGAATGGACCATCGTCATCTTCCTCCCGATCATCGCCAACAACAATGCCAACACGCTTCCGCCCACTCCTCTCCACGACTCTCTCGCCCAACTGGATCGACTGCTTGCTTGGTGGCTTGCATTCGACATTCCATCCATCATTGATCAAGATGTTTTTCTCGGTAAGGTATGCGTTCCACTTTCGTCGGTGCTTTTCATCATCAGTCTCAATGCCTCTTGCTGCAGCAAAATCATTGGCATTGAAAGCCACTTGCTCTCCGGCTACTCTGACTGCTTCCTCTCGATCCTGGCCATCAAAGATTGGGATGTCTTCTTCGAGCTCGTCGTCAGGATCTCGATCCATTTCATCGTCGTCGCTTGCATCATCGACATCAGGGGCATTCTGAGTGGTGCTTTGGTCGTCGTTGTTCTTGGTTTCCTCCGTGGTGGCAACGACAACGACCTCAACTGAATCAATGAGCGGTGCGTCATCCAAGTTTCGCCCCCCTTCATCATCCTCTGGTTGATCATCTTGACCGCTGCCGCTGTTTTCTTCTTCATCCGGCTGATTCTCTGTCGGAAATTCACCCTCATTTGGGTGACGGAGCATTTGCGATGAGACTTCAAGAAACATGTTCTTTGGTCGGCCTTGCTTATCCACTAGCTCTGCTTTCCATTTCCCCTTTCCCAAAGCCTCCCGGATGATGGCAGGAAGTGCATCCTTCCTTGTGAAGACCTGACTATCTCTTCCAAGCCGCTTGCGTTTGGGCATCTTCATGGTGGTGGTTCTTGCTTTTTCGAAGTTTGTTGTTTCGAAGAAGAAAAGAGTGTCGATCAGTCGTCCTCTCTGCTTCTTCTTGGCTCGAGCCGATCGACTCGACTCGACTAGTCTAAGAGTAGTCTAAGAGTAAGCCGACGTATATTCTTATTCAGCTCTCTATAGTCGGATGGCTTGTCCATCTTTCCAAGCGTCAAAGAGAGCTCTTTTGTAGTGAGTGTTGAAAAATCAATCCGTCTTTTTCGCGTGGGAGTGACGGTGGGAGGGGTCTCCAGACGCGACACGTCATCGTACGACATTCTACTCGTACTGTATTTTCATACTATTTTGTTAGTTTACGTTTTTTAGCGTTATATTTGGCACGAGCCTCTCCATCCAAAGAAAAAGCACTCGGAAAGCAACCGCACACGAACGCCGCTGCAGCACCACTCCTTACAATCGAAGAAAGAACACAAATCGATCGAAGATGGTGGCGAGCCAACAATGGGAACCTATTTCTTACTGCGACGGGAGGGCTGCTTGCGGAGAGCGGGATTCTTGTCGACGGCAGCGGGCTTGAGGGCAATGGTCTTTTTCTTGATGGGCTTCTTCTGGGCAGCCTTCTTGATGGGAGTGAAGAATTGCTCTTGGGAAAAGCCACCCACTTCATCATAATCAGAACTCGAGTCAGTGGTATCCAGGATGTTGACGCTGGTGTCCAAGCCGTTGGTAAGAAAGTCCACTTCCTGTTCCATGCCAAGCTCATCAAAATCATCTTTGTCAAACTCATCATCTTCTTCTTCCGAAATCTCCGACGATGACAAGTCCACAGCAGGCGTCGCGGAAGCGACCGTGGAAGGGAGAGGCTCGGCAACAGCAATGGATGGAAGAACTTGGGTGGCCTCCACTGCTTCCTCTTCTTCATGATCTTGGAAGCGAACGGTGAAGCTCGTCATGTCCCCGTTGACGGTGAAGGTGAGTTTCTTACCGGTGTCCTTGTTGGTGGCATCGGCCATGAAGGAGAACTGATCAAGGGTGTAGCGACCGAACATGTTGACTGACAGATTGATTTATTGTTGTTGTGGCTGGTCCAGTAGATTGGTTGTGAGCAGAATGGACCATCCAACAAGATTCAGTCGAGCTACTAATACTCCAAATTTTCCCAAATTTTCCCTCGGTTTTGAGGAGAAGCCGCGCACTCCACTCGGATTGAGGAAGCTTCTTTGAAGAGGTGAGATCCAATGATTGAGCCCGCCACCACTTGATTGGTCTTGTTTGAATTGTATCTACTTCTGGCCGGATCGGCTTACGACTTCGCTTTCTGTTGTTTTGTTGCTCGCACTTTGCTGTCACTCCCTTTCCCCAAAGCAATTATGTCTTCTTCCAACCAAGTCTTCTCCTTCTTTCTTGCTGCCCGTGCTCTGTGCCATCGAATGTACAATGGTGGACTTGGGATCGCACGTCGTCTTCGCTCAATCTTTCTCTTTTTTGTAGGCAACCTTCACACTCTCTGTGGACGGATGATTGCTCGAAGCGTAGCGTGGACCCCTCTCTTTTCCTTCAGCAGCGATCAAGCTGATGATATCACGATGGTTGTCCGCGTCTCTTCCACCATGGGATGCAGCCGCCGTGTGCAAGGCTCCTTGGCTGTTGAACAGTATGGTAACACCACGCTTTTTCGGGTGCTGATTGATGGTCACGAGGTGATCGATGGAGTTGATGGCAGCAACCAGCCCGGTGACCGCTTCCAAGGAGCCGTGTACCTTCCTGAAAGCGTTCAGTGGGAGCCAGTCTTCAAGAAAGTGAAGAGTGCCAATACAACATCCATCCGTGGTCGATGTGCGTTTGTGAAGTTTGGACCAAATGTCTCTGGTATCACTGCTCTCCAGGTCACTTTGATCCATAGCAACAAGAACAAGAGCTTTGATGCCAAACGAGTGAGCGCAGCTTTAGAGGCATGCATTGCGAACGCTTCAGAGGCAGTCAACATGGTGTCGAACAACAACAACAGCTTCCATTTGTAGTGGACGATGGCATCAACAGTCGACGACGGCATTATCCGCAGATTGGAGGCAGTTTTGTACTGTTTTACTATAGGATCGCCAATCCACGGATGGAATATCCTCGCCTCGGATTGGACTCAATCCGCAAAATGTGAGCGGCAACAACACAACAACTACTGGCACATATACCAAAAGGGATGGTTGTTTCTTACTCTCCTAACTATAAAGATCAATAGCTATTATGTCGATAGCCTCATTATTAGCTATGGTTGCCATGCTAGACAGCCTCAAAGTATGCACGGATATCCGATGTATTCGCGGATCCTTGGAGGCAGCACCCTCCAAGGCACTAGATCACATCATTGCAGACCACAGACCACGCACCATTGATTCTTTCAGTGTGGATGGGCTGTGATGTTTCAACTGGTCTTCGGATTACTATGTACCGGTACCTGGTACATGTACCAGGTACCGAAGTATTTTGAGCTGTACCTACACAAATCGGGTCGCAGCAGTCAAATTAGTCTACTAGCTAGTAACATTACTTCTTGGAAGCTGCAAGAGAATTGAAATTCTATCCAACACAGAACGCGTAAAGCAATGGTTGCGTTCTTATGATCATCGGCTCAATGATCTGCGCTTCGGACCATTGGTGGAAGATGACAATTATTCCTAGTACAGTACTACCTGTACAGTACCTCTCCTTAGCTAGCTACCGGTGGACTGTCCAAGTCGACTTGTCAGTTGGATCAGCTTTTGAACGAACATGACGGTCAAGAGACCAAACAACAATTTACAGGCAACACAAGGCGACAAGAGGAGCGCAAATTACGATGGACACGAAACTCTCCAAATGACACCAGATAGAAGTGGTTGTGAGTTGGGATTTCTTTGTTTTCTTTGTTGCCACTCTCTGGTGGTTTGGAAAAGGGATCTGTGTCTAATCCTCCGATTATCCATTCATCAGGCCCCCATATCGGAACCAAAAATAGATTGAATAACTCGATTCCTCCCTGGTTCTACCATACAAGTAGATTGTCTAGTTGGTGTTTTGCTCACGCTGCTCGTCGTTCTTCCTCCAATTCTCCACCTTCCTTCTTCTCACTCTTGGTATTTGATTGCGGTTTGGCAGGTCTCCTTTTGGTAGTCCACGCCCATTCCATTTGACAGTGAATGGGTTCATTTCCATTTTCGTCCGTGACCTGTACTTGAATAACGGCAGCTCCCTTGTCGGTGGTCCGAATCTGTTCTTTTTGCTCTTCGGTAATGTGCGCCACGGCTTTGAGATCCCCTTGAGCTCGCTTGACAAAATTCACCTGCATGCTCTTCAAGACGGGCAAATGGCTGTCGGGGACATGCACGCCAAAACACATTCCCGTGGCGGATTCTGCCAAGGTGGCCATGGCCGTGGCATGAATTCCCTGCAAGTGATTCTGCACGCGCCAGCGATTCTTCAATTCCACCACCACTTGAGACTCGTCCCATTGACGAATGGCAATTCCCGTTGTGCCCGCATATTTAATGTTGGAATTGAACGCCAGAGAGAGAATGGGACCCTTGAAGGAAGCTGGGAGAACCGACGAGTTGTTGACTTGGTTGACAAATCGCAACAGACGATTGGGTTTCACAGCGGACATGGTTGTTCTTGCTTCTAATGAAAGCTATCTGCAATTTTCTATCGGAACATTATGAAGGGATTAGAGTGACATCTTGGCTACTGGTACCAGATACGCCTCTGGTCCCGGCTCCCACGAGGTGGCCGTCTCCTGTGTTCGGGTCCTCATGATTCTTGGCGCTCCGAAGAACTCGCAACGTGTCGATTTATTTATTTGTTGTGGTTTGATGCGACGGTGTCACGGTACGGCACCGTACATGTACCTGGTCCGGTATCTGAGTAATATCTCCTTATTTGTACCGTCTGTCGTGCGTAGGAGAGGCTTTAGACGGGGCTTGTGCTGTGTGCCATCGAGTGAGTCAAAGTTGGATTTTGACTGGAGTATCGAGTTTGACTTTGGTCTGATCTAACAATCACTATAGGATAAACAGTAGGGTAGATTCGACAAGAGGCCAAAGCCAAAACTGCACGGCGAAATCAAATGACCGTCACAACCTGGTGTAATCGCGAGCCACGCCAGAGGTTCGCTTGTGCATGGCAACCGGTAATCAAAACGGTACTGACGTGTTCGAGGTTCACTTGCTCACAATTTCGCTAAATTTCAACTTCAACAGTACTATTTCTTACAGGCGACAGTTGTTGTGGCTACATTCGTACAGTACGTTCTACAGCTATTGACTAGTTTGCCAAATGGTTGAATCGCTGGTACGGGCATATATGAAAAACTAAAAGGGTGATTTAACATCTAAAGCTTAGTGCGACCACGAGACTTCTTCTTGTCCAGCAGCCCCTTTCTTTGCAGGTAGAGCTTCATGTTAGCAACTGAACACTTGCACTCGTCTTTAAATACCTTTTGAAGCGTGGCACACCCATCAAACTCATCCAGATTTTGTTCCTCTGCGAAATTTCGAATCCCTTGCACCACGGCTACCGACCTCCGATACTGGGCTGTTTGTGCAGCACTCCAATGCTTCCTCCATTTGCTTTTCCACTTTGTTTCTCTTCCTTCGCACCCACCAAGGGCATCCTGAAAGTCTCCACGACCACAATACTCATCCAACAAGGAGGAAAGACTTGGATGCTGTGGGCGAATGAAGAAAGAGGAATTGGGTAAGGTGACACCAATGATGGCGCCGTGCTTGATTTCATTTTCGCTCAATCCACCAGAAGACATGGCTCCAAACGTTGCTGTTCCCACTTGGAGCAGGGTTCCTGCCGCTTCGTATTCGACTGGAGAAGTGTTGTTGTTTCGATTGTTGTTTAGGGGTGGCTCTGCATCCATCATTTCACTATCGAATTCCAGAAGCGGTGGTGGTGTGTTGTGCATTTCGTCCTGTGTAGTGTCTTCTGTAAGAGCCATTAACTCGTCTTCCATAGTAGTGGGGCTGCCTCTTAAAGCAATAGCCCCACTTTCTAGAATGTTCGCTAGTCGTTGCTCTGTTGCCTGCCTTCTGCGTTCGCTTTGTTGGGTCAATGCAATCAGACTGCTTAAGCCCTGGTTCACGCTTTCTGCGACACTGTCTACTCTCTGTTGCAATATACCCATCGCTGAGTCATTCGCTCTGTGCCATTGGTGTAGTCCTGGTAGTACGTTCTGTAGATTGGCATCGAGGGGATCTTGTGCTTCTTTCAAGGCAACACGCATGTCTTCCTTGAAAGCAAGAAACTCCTCGGAAAGGAAACAGCTCATCTCCTTAAACATTGGATGATCCACACATCGCTCTGGTTGCTCCACCATCATAGCAGCAGCATCCTGTAGGAAGATCTTGTTCAGATCCATGAGGAACGCAAGAAATGCCCTGGCGGTCTGCTTAACACACTTCTTGTCAGCCTCAAGTACAGCGTCATAAGCATCGTACACCCACTTTCCAATAGGCGTCTTCACTAGCAATTCCTTGGCTGGCTCCACAGTACTTCGTGGCAACCAGTAGATGCTGTCTTTGCCACCTGTAAATCCGGCTAGAGCCCTGATTGGCGACATAGGAATCTTCGTACTGTAGGAGCGATCTTGCATGCTCAAAGCCCACTGTCCCATCCGTCTGATGTTCTCTGATTCCTCCATACACATTTCTAGGGCCTTGGGGCCTATGTTCCGACCAAGATGCTGGATCTTGTTGCATGCAAGACCCAGGGCCTTTAACATATCCCCAACACATTCACCATAGCTATCGTTTCTCATTTCCTTCTTGTGGTTGGCTGGGGATCCGACGTCTATAAGTAGCTTGATGTCGAACCATTCTTCGTTCTTCATCCAATCTTCCACTGTCATTGTCTCAAGCTCCCTTGTACAGTGCAATCGATGCTGGAGATAGAAAGCCAGACCATTCACGGCACAATAGCACACCTCCTTATGTCTTGTGGCCCTGCCGAATTGCCGTCCTCCTCTAGTAGCAGTTTTCCCAATTGGAATTTGGTTGACCATCAAGTAGGGTGCCTGAACATCATTCGGCGCCTTTGGAAGGTTGATTCCAAGGAAATCACTCAACTCGGCTCGATGCAAACTCTCAGATCGCAGCACACCAGAGGTCAAATAGAGGAGACAGAACCTATGCCGGAGAGACTTGTTGACTGATCTGTAGCCCCTAGCGAACTGACTGCGGCACCACATATACTCTTCCATCTTATCATAATGCTCCACAATTGTGTAGGGTGAAAATTCGCCAGTTATCTTCTCTTTGTAGTTTGCCTTGTCCTTCTTGGGTTTCCTTTCTTTCACATGATCTCGCAGCAGGCGCATGTCCTCATCCACCCATATGAAATCCCATTGCACCTTCAGTGCCTGTGGAAGCCCACTGTTGCCTGTCATGGCGACTTGTACTTTGTAGATTTTCTTAATGACAGATTGATAAGCTGTAAAGGTAGTGGGCCCAATTGGATTCGTTGGCTGTGGCACTGTGGCCAACCTAGCTGGGCCATTCTTTAGATGCTTGATCACCCCTTCGTAGTCTTCCACATCAAAGTATGTGCGTTCGTCAGGAGGAAGTGCCCTTTGCGCTTTAGTGAGACCTTTCACTTTCTGCTCGCGAAAGCACTGAAACCACATAAACCTGTAGACTCTTTCAGCAACAAGGTGGTATTTGTAGGGATCATGAGGGTATGCGTGGTCACAGTACTGGAAGTATTCAATGGCTTTGGGAGTCTGCGCCTTGATGCTGTTAGCAGATCGATCCTCTTCTCTGACTTCCAACACTTGTTGGCGCATGTTTCTGTTGATCTCATTGTCATCTGGATGCCTGATGGTGTGAGTTGTCGCTGTTCCTCCTGGCGAAGTCGACTCCCTCTGGATGTATCTGCGAGGTGGTGAGCCAAACTGATTCGCTATGAAGCGGCTAGTTGAGATAAGTCTGCTCATCTTCCTGTTGTGGTGGTGGTGACTCTGTTGGTGTTTGTTCTCTAGCTAGCTACTTCCACGATATCTCGTGGTACGATGCTAGATATCGATCGATACGTACAATACGTATGTTCGCGCCATAGGCCATTAAGACAGACCTAACGCAAACCAATGCTGGTATGCTCCGAGTACCAGTTCTCTAAGTCCATCCTTTTTTGACTGGACGTTGTAATAACCGTTTATTAAACGCACTCGGCGTGCGGTCAAGTCTTAGACTGAACTCGAAAATTTGACTTGGGGTCTAAACCGGTACTCAGAAGTTAGACTCAGACAGGTATAAATGATAGTGGCAGCTTCACTTTGTTTCCTCATTTCTTTCAACAAGAGGATGGCTGGCCCTCTTCGATTCATGGCGGCAAGCCGTTGGTTGCGCTTGGTCGGGGCTGCCAATAAGGGCACTAGTGCTTCACATCCATATCCGCCCTCTTCCGTATCTGGCTTGCTTCGACGTCATCAAAGCAGTGGCGGCTTTTCGAATGCATGGCAAAGCGTCGATAACGCAGATGAACTAGTAGAAGAGGCTGCGACTCCTCCAAATCCTCTTGATTATCTCTTGGGATTTGACTCGGTGCCGGCAACCAAACACTACAAGGAAGCTCTGTTGCAAGCCTGTGAACTAACAGAATCCCATCAACTTTTGGAAGTAGGATGTGGAACTGCAACTCATATTCCTCAGTATGCACAAGCTGTGGGAGCTTGTGGTCATGTCACAGCCATTGACATTTCACAGGATTTGATTGAACGAGCCAGGGCAGCCTTCCCAAAAAGCAATGTCAACAGCAATTTCACATTCCAAGTGGCCAATGTTTACGAGTTGCCCTTTTCATCGCGGTCCTTTGATGTCGTCAAGGAGGACCGTGTATTGCAACACTTGAATCGACCACTAGAGGCAGTGCAAGAAATGCTACGGGTGACAAAGCCTGGAGGGGGCCTGGTGATTGCCAATCCTGATTTTCGATCCTTCGTGATGGATCACATAGCCTCGCCACAGCAACGATGGGGACAGAGTCTGCGCCCCCCAGAAGGAAATGACCGGGACATGTTTCAGTTGACTACCAAAGTGTTGAATGGTGTTGTGCCCACTCTTTGTGCTCATCCATCGATTGGGAGTCAAAGTCCGCGCTTGTTGCATGCCGCCGGTTGTGACAAAATTGAAATGCAGGTTGTTCCTCTAGTTTTTGAAGGACGTGAAAGTTTAGAGAGGGTGGTCCCAATCACGTACATGGCACAGCTCTCACATGCCAATGGTGCCATTACCACCGAGGAAATGGAGGCATGGTTGCATCGTTTGGAATGGGAAGAATCCGTGGCTAAAAATGTCTTGACGGGGACACTTAACATGTACCTTGTCCGAGGAATCAAGCCAAGCATTGATGATTCTGATCAACGAGACTGGTCCTATAGCATTGGAACCAAGTTTTTTGAAAACTTGAAGTCCCCCAAACCCAAGCTGGATTCCTCCATTCGGTTTGCAGGACTAGATGACACCTCTAAGCTGATTGAACAAGCAAGAACCATGGTCAACAATGAGTACGCCACGTCGGACACCGGCACTACGTTAAGTTCCGAACGCTTGCGCCCACAGGACATTCAACAGATGGTAGCTGATAACGAATTGTTGCTTGCGTTTGATGATGACAACGAAGGACAATTGGTTGGATGCATTCAGGTCAAGTTGAAACGGGCCACTTCCAAAGATGATGGGCTTCCAAGCTTTGGTCGAGACGCCGCCGAGATTGTGGGTGAGTTCACCTGCCTGGCAGTCCCTTCCAACATTGAAGCCAGTGTGACCAACGCCAACACGCAGTCGGTGACAATTCAAAGGACGGAATCGGGCAACAGCCGCCGAGGCCAGGGTGTTGGTGCCGCGCTCGTCCGGGCAGCTGAAGCTCATGCACGCAATCATGGAGCAGGTCGCATGACTCTGGGCATCATGTGCCCTGCAGATCATGAACCACCCTACAAGGTCTGGTTGCAAGACTACTATCGAAGTTTGGGTTATGACTACCATTCGACGGTTGTGCTAGACTTTGAGAAAAACTCGGAGGGACAAGTAGTTGTGGATCAGTTGCACGACATGTACGAGCCATTGCATCAGCTTGTCCAATGCAAGGCAATCCTCTTTGACAAAGTTCTCTAACGAAATTTTAAAATTTTAAAAAGGACCACATACATGAAATACCCTGTCACCGGGGACTACCAGTAGCCAAAAGGCAAGCTGAGAATCGCATTCCTCTGCAAATTTGGAAACACTTCTCTCGAACACTGCTCCCGAACACTTCTCCCGAACACTTTCAGTATTGAGAGTAATTACCAGTGGACAGTCTTTTGGTATTTTGCAGACAATTTTCGTTGACAATTTTTGTACCCTGCTCACCGCACCGTACCGCTCAGTACGAATCAAAAGCTTCAGAGATCCTGCATTCAAGGAATGCGATATTAGCTTGTGTTGCTCTACTAGGAGTCAGGTGTTGTCCCACTATCTCTCTTTTAGCCTCTGGAAAAGCAAATGGCTCGGGTGTTCGTCCAGATTTGGGGCCTGGACATGGACCAGGGTAGGTCCTGATATGGGATCTGGATCGACCTGGTCTAGGGATACCATATGCCTTGGGGCTGGTCTTGGGGTGGGCCAGGGTTGGGTCCTGGATTGAGGTCAGGGTTGGGTTCAGGTGTGTGCCTGCAGTGGGTCCTGGTGTTGGTCCAGGTGTTGGACCTGGTGTGCGTCGGGCCAGTTGTTGGGTATGGAGTTGGTCGAGGTTTGAAATCTGGAGAGGGGCTTGGAAGGCATCCGGGCATTGGCCCAGGCGGGGGCCTGGAAATGGCCAATGGGTATGTCCTGGATTGGGGCCGGCCATCGGTCCAGGAGAAGGACCTGGATGGTGCTGATGGCCAAGAGCACTAGCTAGTACGGAAGGAGACCTACTAGCTAGAAAGTGGAGGTTGTGTGTCTGGGAGGGTAGGCTCGGTGTTGAGCCAAGCGGAGGTCAATGCCCGCCTCGTTTCCTGGCCATTGGCTGGCACTTTAGAAGCAGATTACCCTCTGCCTTCGGCCAGGTCCTGCGGCGACGACCTGGAAGTGAAACATTCTTCCACCCCCATGAAGAAAGCCGCCACAGACTCAAACGAGCCAAGAAAGGCAAGGGGGGTCCCAAAAAGAAGCGAGCAAACCACACAGAGCGACCAAAGATAGATAGCACAATCAGCACGCTCGCCTAATATCTTGTGTCGTCTTGCGTGTTGCCGACTGAGAAATTGGCTTGAGGTGAACCATGCTTGGGGTGTGAAGAGAGCTTCGAGTCGTGGCTTTGAAGGAGGGAAAACTGGTCTACTTGCGCGTAGATCTTGTACTGGCCCTTACGCAGGCTCCGAAACCGGGAAAGGAAGCCCTGCCCGTTTCATAATTCTGCAAAAGATCATCGACCATTCCACGCTGACCACCATCGACAAAAAGACCTTCTTTCTTACAAAACCGACAATCCTCTTCTACCGTAGAGAGACTGACAATGAAGCTCTCGTTGCTTGCCACTACCCTGACCACACTGCTGGTGTCTTCTGTGAGCGCCGCTCCCAAGGGCGAGCATGGTCCAATTGACACGACCCGTGGCCCCAAGCTGTTTGAGCCTCCGAGAGCCCGTCGCGGTGGGTACACATACGTGGATGAATTTTCCATAAAGGTGAATGGCGAAATGGACTCGGCGGCAGGCATGGCCATCAAGGGAACCTTGGATGCGACTGCCGATACCAAAACAGTTGTAACTTCTTTGGAAGGAGGCAAAATGAAACTGGACATGTTGTTGGAAAACGTAAAAGGATCCGTTCAGTCCTTCATGATGACGGTCAACTGCGACAGCAACGACCGCGCTCATTCGGATCCTCAGTGCGCGCCATTGTTCGATGTAGTGGGAGCCGAAGAGACCATGGTGGTGGATGAGGAAGGAAACATTTATGAAATCACAACTCCTGATGGACAGACATTGGAGATGGTCCCTCCGCCCGTCGAAGCGGAACCAGAACAAGTCCTCATGCATCAAGAAACCTTGGCAGGCAAATTCCGAGCCAATCAGTTTGCAGCGTCGCATCATTTGGATAAGAGTCATCAGCTACTCAAGCTCATTCCCGATCATGCTGTGCGGCCTGGTGATTCCTGGATTGACGATGTGGACATGGAGGGGATGGGAACCTTCAAGGGAAATTCCGTATTGATGGGATACACCACATATGAGGACCGCGACTGTGCCGTCTTTGAATTCGAGGGCACTTTGCATATCGACGTCACCCAGCTCGCTGGCATTTTGGGAGTGGACGACCCCTCCTTGTTGCCCAGCAACATGACGGATGCCGAAATCTCCAATGTGATTATTTGGGATTACGAGGATGATATTTCTCGGTGGGCACAAGTCAACATTACTACCTCCTTTGATATGCCCAACATACTCAACCCCGTTGACCCCAAACCTGTTCAGGTCCCCGTCTCGGTCGTCTTGTCCCTCAATACCGACATTACCGTCCGACCGGACCACGAAGAAGAACAGCAGAGTAGCTCCTCGGGTATGGAGTACCGCGGATATAATGAGGCTTCCCAAGCAAAGGAAAAGAGCGGAGAATACCAAGACAGCAGCAGCTTCAGCAGCAACAGCGGCGGCAAGAAAAAGAGCGGTGGTTGGGGCAAGACCTTCTTTTTCCTGTTTATGCTCGCTGGAGTGGGAGCCGCCGGATATGTCTACTACAAGAAGCGTGAAGGAGATGATTTCTTTGTGCGACCGACCTACGAATTCTCCCCCGTGGGAGCAGAGCCCATCTACAACTCCAATGGTTTCATTTAGATTGTCTGGTTGCGAGCTTTTTAAAGTGGAACGACCACGACGATGCAAAAGAAACACAGCTGCGCAGCAATACTGAAAGATATAAATTACATTCCATGATTGTTCTGAAGTCCAGGCTTGTATACTAGTCTACTGTAGTCTACTGTAGGGCTTTTGCATCCCGAGTTGCGGATTCTCTTGGCAAACAAACAACATGCAGCGCCAGACGTAACGGGAGGCGCCACAGGGTTGCCACAGCATTGGCAACCTAACCAGAGCCACAAAGCTGTTTGCCTGTAGAACATGAATACATTTCAAACGAGTGAGTCGCCCCCATCTACTGCTAAGTGCTCACAACGCCACAAAGGATCCCCACCTCCCCATACCAGTATCTTCAAATACACTAAGATATCTCCAACTTTTACAGTCACTCTGCCTCTGGGTAACACGGAACGATGTCAGCTACTTTGCGCAAGCAACAAGCTAATTCAAGTGTATCTTATCCAAATCTATGAGCTCTTGATAGTCATCACCACCATCTTCGGCCTTGATCGCATCATTAATCCTCTCCTCACGACTCACAGGTTGACTTGAGCTCTTCTCCATCCACTCTGTTGGAAGAAATTGCATTAGCTCACGATGATAAGACTTGTCGTATGATTCCTTCAGGTATGGTTTCAATTTGTGGGTGTCCACCTTGTCTCGATACGAGTTGAGTAAATCTCGAAAAAGAGGCCTTGATGCTTGCTCCAGTTCGTACAAAACGTACTCGTTGACCATACCATATCGACACGCTTCTTCCCATACTTGCGTCAATACGGCGGATTCTTCTTCGCTCGGAACATATTCCTTCAATCCCGACAATGCTCTCAAGCAAAAGGCAAACAAAAAGGGCGTTGGTTCGAAGGAATGCTCCTTCAACTCGTCTCGCAATACACCGTTCCAAAACTTGAGCGCCAGCTTGACGCCCAATTCTTTGGCGATTTCATTTCCATCGGGATGCGCACAAGCTCTCAACACGTGACTGTACGCCGATGCATCCGGGACGACGTTGTAAATGAGTTTCATGTCCATAAAGAATTGGGTGGCATGGAGCGCCTTTTGGGGATGATCTCGGTCTCCGTGTGCATTGGCCCATGCCAACAAGACCTGGTTGAATCCAGCCACGGGCGGCTTGTCGAGGAATACCAATCCCTTGGTCTTGTGAAAGAGATGGAGCCGCAGGACCACATCTTGAGAGATCCAGGCCGTGTCGTCATTCTTGACTGTTTGTTGATATTGTTTCGGAAACCGCATCAGCGTGGCCAGTGCTCGTGATACCAGTACGTATATTTCATAGGTCGGCACGGGCCATTTCACAATTGGTTTGTGGTTGTTCCAATGTGCGACAGAGCGTCGATTTCGTGGCTCATAGTTGTAGGTTGCAGTGACTTGGTCTTCTTCCAAGAGGTCGGGGATGTAATCCCAAAAGAGCTCCATGGTTCGTAGAATGGCTTCGGCTCGCATGACACGTTGTCGAATCAAGGTGGCACCACTGTCACCCACTCCCTTATACTGGGGATCTCGAGAGATTTGTTCTGCCTTGGCGAGTAATTGGCCAATCATGAAGAGACACCTCGCTGCAGTGACCTCTTCTTCTGCAGCATATCCATGCTGATAGACCGTCTGTAACAACCGAATCAAATAACGACTCTGCGAATCCAGACTGTTATCGCCATGCAAAGGTTCCAATTGCCACGTTTGCTTGCGACTGGACGATGCAGATTGTGTTTCAGGATTCGGAGAGGTATGGTTAGTTTCCTCACGGTCTGGAAAAGCCCATGGATCTCCATATTCCTCTGGCGAGAACCAATCTTCCCAATTCAGAGAAGTGTCAAAGATGGGTCGAATTTGTGATACTTCATTTGATGCTGTTGGAGTGCTCTTGCTCGTCCCAGAGGAAGCGCTTCGAGAGAGGAGCGGACTTGTTGTGCATCCAGCAGCATAATGATCAAGTTGAAAACCGCCGAAACAATGCGGACCAAAGGTGGCGGATCTTGGTCGCTTCAGAGTAGATATGGAGCCCCTTGTGCTTCTCAGACGCCCTATTCTTATTGCCACAGACGACATCGTGAAGAGATACTTGTAATACATAAACTATGACCTGTGCACGGGTTGTGGGAGACGACTGCTTTACCTCGTCATCATGGCAGAAGATGCAGGGTGGTCGGTGGTGGTCGACGAAGCTTTGAGTTGCTATAGATGACGTCACATCCATGATCCCGTTACAAAACTGATCCACAATGTCGCTTCGGACGAGCTGCCATCCCAAACGCAACACCAATGTTTCAAGATAACGGGTTGCTAGCTAGCTAGCTGGCTAGAGTAGAGAAGATATCTACCGACAAAGAAGAGTTGGAATTCGGGATTAGGTTCTGTGGGATCCGGCGACAACCACCACAGGGGCAGGGCTTGACTAGATCCACGAAGACATCAATGATGATTGGCTTTCATAGATTTCCTAACAGCTAGCTTGTCACCGGTAGCTCGCTAGGCAGAGTAAGTACTATCTAACATGTCATTTATTTACGCAGGTCCTTGCATTGGCTATGGACCATCTATTGGTTCGTCGTCATGGTTTGATTCCGATGCGGTAGTCTTGTCATCGTCCATCCGTGCTTGAAATTGTTGGTCTTCAATCTCTTTTCTCAAGGAAAGTATTCGTTGAAGAAGCACAATGCACACGGCCGCTGCGGCTATACTACAGACGATAACGCCAGCAACGGATCCCGGGGACAACCCGTCTTTGTATTTTGGACATTCCATGGAATGTAATTGATAAAAGGCAGGTTCATCGTCACCAAATCGATGCAGTAGGGCGTCCTCATAGACCGTACCATCGATTGTGACAGAGTAGCTCTCCAGAGCCTCCGTTTTCTGGTCGCTGACGGACACATCCAAGTCAAAGCAGTATTTGGGGATACACACATTTTGTCGAAAACCGGAACGATTGTAGCCAAAATAACCCTCCATGGTTGTCTTGTCTTGCAGATAGGATTCGTGCGGTTGGAGGGTCCATTCCGCATTGTAAAAGCCGCTGTTGTTGGCCACCAGTTCCAGAGACATGAGTGAATTCGTGTTGCAAATGCTCGAGCGGCACTCTGTTCCAATAGTCACCCCATCCGTAATAATGCTATCCGGTACACCTTCTCCTTGATTCACCGAGAATTGGTACGTCGAGTCGGCATAGATAAAGTTGTCCAAAAGGAGCATGTATTGACCCGTCGCAGATTGTGGATGGTCTGGTTCCATGGAAAGAAAAAATTGCAAGCAAGCATCTCGTTTCACGCATGTTTGTTCCCGTCTCCAAGTCTGTCTTTCATCATAATGATCCCAAGCGACCGACTGCATCATCAGTACTGTCTCGTCTTGCTGTGCCAGATCCACCAACGACCAATCGATGGATCCTTGTTGTTGTTCCTGCAAACCAGTGCGAGAAATAAACAACTCCAAGAGGGCCTCGTCATCGTTTTGACAGAGAGGTTTGCAGGAGGAATCATCGCTGCTTAACAAGACCGATTCGAATGGAGCCATGGCTTGGAACTCCAACGGCGTAGTATCCTCCAGGGACAAGGACACCCATGGATACTGTCGATGACTTGGATGGGATAGCAGTTTGGAAGAAGCATCCCTCAGCAAGAACCGATAACATGCATCGTTTGCTGTTTTGGGAATGCACTCATGAACATGATACGTTTCCCAGGGACTCCAGCCACAATCATCTGTAATGGATGTACTACTGGTAGTGTGCTTTTGGCAAGAGGATACTTCCCTGACAATGCCGCGTTCGCCTTCTTGGACAATTTCCCAATCGAGACCCACCGACCCTCCCGTAAAGACTGTCAAATTCAAGAGAGCCTCGTCGTTGGAACACGTCGGTATACATGACTCTCCAATTTCTGTAGTGGACTTGTACGAGGAGAGTCCCTCTTGTGATATAGGGTAAGCCGTGCCAGCAGTCATGGGTGATCCATCCCATTCTATTCGGAACTGATCCAACTGCAAGTCTTCTACCACCAACAAGAGACAGTCATCTTGTTGTTGTTTGGGGATACACAGAATGACTTCCTCTGGTAGTTCCTCCCACGAGTTGTAGGACTCGGACCGTATCGACTGTCGAGTACTGGCATATTGCAGCCTCCAAACGACACTGCCGGTTGTCGGGAAGCGAGTAGCCGTTGAAACGTCAAACCACAGCTGCAGCAGACTCTCGTCGTCGTCGTCGCAGGATACTACGGACTGTTGTTGCTGATGAGACGGTTCCATGTTGAGAGATAACAGTGCCAGGACGAACCATCGCGATACAGACCGTGCAGAGAGCAGGGTGCTTATTGTTGTCGTTGGATGCATCATGGTCATGGTTGTGCTGAGTGCTGTGCTGTGCAGGGTTCTAGCTAGTCCCTTTCTTTCGAAAGGGCGACTGTGCCTCTCTTGCTTGCTTTTCGGTCGGTCGAAGGTGGTGTGAATAAAAAACCCGGTGAAAGAGTTAAGGGATATCCCACCAGTTACGCGAGCGGGACTCACAAGTTTAAACCCACGCACCGGTGCCACCATGGAACCCTCGCCTTTTCTTGATGATTGCATGCTTCCTCCTCTCCTTCCTGCCAACCATTCCGTTGGTGGTACCGGTACCATACCACCGGCGCAGCAACGGCAACATCACAAGCTGCACTCTACCTGCTGCATTCAAGTAGCAAGTACCTAGTACAGTTGATTGGCAGTTACATAATAGATGTCATGGTGCTTCTCTGGCAACGAAGGATGCTGATAGTGGCACTGCCGTTACACGCATTGGCAGCATCCTTTCTCTGGCAACCAGGAGAAGCTTTCTCGCTATTTCCTTCTGCTGCCACTACGTCTTCTTCTCTTTCCATGGGAGGATATTATGCCGATCCAGAGGTACCATTGGATCAATCCAATACTCACATGGTGTTTGGACAACGTTGCTTGGAAACCAAAGTGGCGGTAACCGAAGAAACAACGCTCGTGTGGCTTCAACCAACAAACACCAATGACGACGACGCCGGTCAAGTAGAAGTGGATCATGGGCCTCTTTTAGTACAGCATCTGCTGCATTCTTTGTCATTCAATAATAATAATCAGGGATGCTCTGTCCTCGAAATTGGAGCCAGTAGTTTTTCGCTGGCGGCACTCTTGGCGCTGGACGCATCCTTCGTGGTGGTATGTCACCCACAGGAGCAACGGCTTCGGATCGTAGACCACACACGGCAATTTCTAAACCCAGAGTTACAGCAGCAATCCTCAAAGGGAAGCTTTCAAACCGGTACGTCGTTAATTATCTAGCTGGCCAGTGCTGTCAGTACCTGCAATAGGTTGCATTGCCATCCCAAATCATTATATTATTGCTGCTTGCCAACTGGTGCCCTCTGATTACTCAACCAATCTTCCTGGGGACCTGCTCAGAGGTGCTCCAACCAGGAATCCCTTTACCCAAAGCCGACGTTATTGTTTTCACAACGACAGCTTGGGATCGTCTGGAGGAAGCCGTTTCCAGTGATCCAATGGTGGTGTTGGTGCCACTCAGTATCATTTCTCAAGATCAATTGCAAAACTATGAGTACGAGGAGACCAATGGAGTAGTGCAAATCATTGCGGTCAAGAAGAATGTTTGAACCAAAATAAATTTAGCGTTTTCAAAAACAACGAGGGTGATAACAACAATCTACCAAAGAAAAATGCCAAGGTTCGCCAGGAATAATCAATCAGCCCAGCTACCATGACCAATATCATGCAACATCTTGATGTTCTATTTGCACGGCTCTGTTTGCACTGGCACATGTGTGTCTATAATGTCTATCTCTATGTCAGGAGGCTACCTTCTTTGTCCCTACAATGTCGCTATGAGACTCAACGAAGCGGGAGCAACCTCCAAGATGCGCTTTGTGACTGCTTCTCCACTGCCCTTGGGAGGAATAGTATGCATGCCAAGCGACAACACCCTTGGACAACCCAGTTGGGACTCTGCAACAGGAAATGCGGCCATCCATGTATCGTGACTTGCCACAATTTGACCTCCTACGGCGATGCCTTCGAGACTCTTGGCAATGTCCATGGCTGGTCCACTGTACTTGATCCTATCAGTGGTGGGGTCCTTGCTGGTCTCAACCGTATCTGTATGAACACTAATCCTGACTCGTATTCCTCTGCGTTGAGGGCCATTGGCCCATGGCAGTGCCAGAATATCGTTATCCCAAGGAGCGCTGTTCATTCTTTCCTGGATGTTCAACGCAAATATCAGAGCGTCGGATGCTTGGTGAAAGGCAACTGCGAAACTGTCACCTTCTGTTCCAATCTCATATCCATAACTGTTTGTAATTTCCTGTCGCATAATGTCGTTGTGGAGGTGAAGGGCTTTCAGCATTGCCTTGGGATCGGCCTCCCACAAGTTGGTGGAGGATTCAATATCAGTCCTAACAATCGTTGCGTGGCCTTCGGGTGGTTGGTAGCACGATGAAAGACTTGTTTGCTTGTTTTCGTCTCGGAGTATCTTGACTTGTCTTCGCAATTTGTCATTGGCTTGCTCTTGTTCGGATGCGGCGTCTTCTAGGATTGAAGATACAACTGACAAGTCAAGACTCAAATCATCCTCGCCCATGATACTCCCTGCCAAGCTCGCCAAGGAGCTACTGCTGCTAGATGTGCTTGCAGTGGACCCAAAGCTTAGCCGACAAGAAGAATATGTAGTCGACGAAGTTCTTCTTCGGTAGGCAGCCGACAGTTTACGGCGGTGCAGACGGGAAGTTATCTTCAGATTGTCCAAAGTCTGGAAAAACTCTTCTTCGTTCTTGAGCGTCTCGAGGTAGATACCATCGATTCTGTTTTCCTTGATTGCTTTCTCATACTGCTGGTACTTTTCCCCAAAAGAACTTACAGTCTTTGCTACTTCGTCTGCTGGCGTATCACCAAACGTTTTGGAGTTGCTGGAGCCCATGACGGGTGTTTTGTTGTTGGTTATTACGTTGTTGTCTTCGAAATGATGTGAGGGCGAACAACGCCTGATCACTCCCCGCCACTCCACGAGTGGTACGGGAACAAAAAGATCCAATCCACTCGTGATCTTGGAACAAACAGGAACAAGTCCAACGAATCTTGCGCCTCTCGCACACGTAACCCACCGTACGGTAGCACGGTAGGCACACTCAGACCGAACCAACCAAGAGCCCGCCGTCACGTTCTTGGGGCTCTTGGTTGGGTGGCTACCATTACCGGACCGGTGCGGGTTGTGCAGAGTGGAGGCTATCATCGTTCCTCCGTCGTCTTGGAAGATTCTGAAACCAGTTTGGTGCCCCTGTGCTAATTTCTCTTTACTACTAGTCTATTCTTGTCTACCTCGCATAGCCTACTAGCCAGAGATCCCGTTCACGACTGGTTGAGCTCCAGGAAGATCACCTTGACCCTCTCCTCAGATTCACGACATCTAGCAGCCAATTTCCAGCACAGCATCCATACTGCGAAGTCGGTTGAGTTCTGTGGTGGGGACTAGCTAGTAGAAACCTAGAAGAACTCAATCAGGTGTTGGGCGAGAGCAATTGATATGCTTCTGCTGGTGGTGAGAGACGACCACTGATATATTGGTGCTATACTAGCTAGGGTATGCTTCACAAGGTACCGTTAGTTGTCAAGTCTGCGGCTGGAGCAGCTTTCTTGCAGGCATCTCTACATAGTTAAGTAGTGTAAGGCGTGATCCAATGTATCAAAGGTCTTTCCCGTGGTTTCTACATTTCATCTAAGCAGCAGGACAGAGCGAGGAGCAGTACCGTGGTGATTCATGTTTGCTGTGGATTGGCGAGACGACGGAACGAGGCTGTCGTCTCGGGACACTATGGCATAATTCTAAAGGTTTGGTGATATCCATGCACATGGAACGAGCTGCATGACTGCACACCAGTCCAGCCAACAGATGATGGCCCGGGCAAGTCTTCCCAGGGCTGCTCGCTGGTCCTGGGAACTCACCAAATTATCCGAGCAACAAACCTCAACGACGAGCTCACAGTTTCATTTCTGAGCAACAAGAAGAGTGTTACGTTTTGACAAACTAGCTCGATGAAATCGCTCAGCTAATACCGTTAATAGGCTACAGAAGTAAGTATGGGTACCATTCACTCACATTCACCACCACATTCAATCCAGATGATTTTATAGACACATTGAAACGAGCACGCAACATATACATTGGACAGTTCTAGCATCGATCGTCAGCAGCACCAAGAGAACTATGAGACGATCCATCGCTACATTCCGTGTCTCCGTGAAGGATATGTGATTCATGTCGATGGAAGGATTTCGTAAGGACTTCATATTCCCCTCGGCCATCCTGGAGCTGGAGCTTGGCCCATTGACCCTTGACTTGAGGGAGATCAGCAGAAGCAATCACCAGAGCGATGAGGATTGTCATGGCCACAACCATGGAAACCAGGTGCGCCTCTACCATGTGTGGATTGAGTTCAAAGCAGCACAGGTAAAAGGCAATGAAGTAAAGCCAGAGACCTTGAAGGAGCATGAGAGCCCAAGAGCTGATGTGTGCTACAATGCTATCTGTTCGCATGACAGAGTAACCAAATGCAATTCCATCAGCCAGATTGATGTAGCCAAGGTATATATGGACGGATTGGTCTGTTCCGTGTGGCATCGACATGCCATGGGCTCGCCAAATGAAACAGCACAAACATAGAGCTAGGGCCAGAGCGGTACGTCCCGAGTCGGGAGCAAGTCGTTCTTGGGATTCCAAGTAGGCAACCAAACCAACCATAAAGAAGCACGAGTACAATATCATGTGCAGACGGATGCTCATATCAATTCCCTCCCCGAGAGAGTGATAGACCCCCCCGGCGACAGTTAATAGCATGACCCAGATTCCAATACATCGGATAATTCCCTTGTCTTGCAATGGAAGGTGGACCTCAGTGAATGATCGTCCAGGAGGAAGACGCTTGGTCATCTGCAATGTCTTGACAAGGGCATACAACCCGAAAGCAGAGAACACAGTAGCAGGCAGAATATGCCCGGGAAACTTTTCCCAACTCTTTTCCATCCCCATTTGTTCTTCTGTTCCGGCAACGGTAGAATTGTTGTCCATCATAGAGTCCATTGCCAGTATTTTCTTCTTGTTCGTATTTCCAATCGATCAGTGCAGCTTTGTGAGGAAGAAAACAACAACGGCAGGAAGGGGAGGCACACAATATGGATGACCACACTTTTGTCGATAGCAACAGCACAACCCAGGCACGAGACTTCCACAAGCCGAATGAGAAAAAGTTTTTGTTTCTTGGGGATCTATCAAATCAATCAGTGCGAGAGTTCTCATACGGTGGCGATGCCCGATGACCCCGTAACGCCAAAACATGTTGTTGCTTCGACGAAAAGACTGTGATATAAGTCCCCGCAAGTGACATCTATGCATATCTCTTTGTTAAATGAAATATACAGCAGATTCATTCGCTCCTGGGAAAGGCATAAATGCGAATTTTGTCGAATCTTGCAGCTCTAAGTAGACACATGAATGAACTGGTTGCAATCCCACGAACAATGTTGCCCTTGATTATTAGAAGCAGTTAGGTTACCTAATGCAAGAATGGTACAACTATAATAGCAGTAACGAGGCGAGGGTACCGGTATGTTACTGAGAAGGGTTACCGGTATGGTACGGTGCCGTAAGGTAACTACACGATGTACATACCGGTAGCAAGATTACCTTAGTAGTTACTTCAAATGATTCAATTTGTTTCAGTATTGCAGAAGTTTAGCCACCAGCAGGGCACCTCTCCTCAAAGCATCAAAACCATACTGGTACCAGCCACCAGAAACGAGTGACTGAACCGTGGGCAAGCTCTCTTCAGCCAGTGACCGCACCACAAGAAGAAACTTGGTGATCTACTATCCAGTCCTGCAAAATTGAGGACACTCAAAACGCCAACCATTAGCAGCTTCGTCGGCACCAACCTAACCCCCTCTGGGAAATCTCTCTGATCGGTCTAACTTTCCAGCACGGGCCTGATCTTGATTTCTTGATCTCACACCTTGTTGTTAAGACATCACCGAATCGAGCAAATCACCGCCTCAGCAAGTAAGTAATGGAATGAGCTACAGAGCTTCTTCCAATTACCAGAGAGTACTAACCAGTATTCTTGGGGGTCCAAGCTCCATTGGACACAGCAGCAGTTTATTGTAGCTCTAATGAGTTTTCTTGCAAGGCAAGCACTTATAACAGCCGCAATTCAAGGTCCAAATTTTGCAAAACACAAGCAATTCTGCGCGGCTACGGTATCATGGCTCCCCTGGATCGAGATGGCATAATTGACAACGGTTGTCCATACTGTAAAACAACGGTTAAACCGACCTTCATACTTTATCCCAGAGTGGTGTCACGCCTTGGGTCTTGTGCAAAACATGGCAGAAAGAAGCCATTTTAGCTGTGATGATACCCCTTGAACAAGTGTAGGAATGAAGCTGCTGTGGGAAGGCTTGGTACGGGTACCGGTATGAACTGGAGAAAATTTGGTCTATCTTCACAGGCTACAACTCTCTTCTACTCTATTCGTACATGTATTCAGACCTCCAATTGTGTCTTTGATATCAAGTCACAGAGTTGCATCACCCATCCCAGACCAAGGGTTCCATCTAGACTAATCAAGGGTGAAAACAAGGACTCAAAGTTACATGTATCAAGTAAATTGCAACATAACGGTGAGATGTTGGCTTGCTAAAACTTTAAAAAATGGAACATGGTGCTGGATGCGAGGGACTGCACCTCTGTCGTGTACAATATCTTGCTACTTTTGGGGATTTTGAGGGTGTTGCTGTGCAGGGGCAGCATCAGCAGCAACATAACACTCCCCAGCTGTACAAGACACCAAACCCATGGACGAAATAATAAAGGTTGTTCTTGCCTCAAGAAGGGAAGCTTGCCGTGACACGGTGTAAATAAAAACGGGTATCGTGGGTCTGACGCAGGTTTTCGCGGCCTTCTTTTCGTTGTGCTTGTATCAGCGCAAAAGATCACTCCAGACCGGATCACTTTACTGCTTCTTCCTCCCCACGCAATAAAGGTTCATTGACCTTGAACTAACTATAGCTACTGCTATCAGCAACCAAAGCCACAACCGTCTGCCCTCATAGCTAGAGGCGTTCGCTTTGTCTAATTCCCTGAAGCTTTGCTTTCCTTGGTGGTATCATAAATAAATTGGATTTCGAGAGGGAAAATGACGTTGCTTGTTCAGAAACTTTCAATTTTCTTTGCTCTGGCGTCTTTGGTGCAAGGAAATGTGGTGATCACTGAAATTGCCGACAAGGGGACGTCACGGGATGTTTGCAATGGAAAGGATTGGATCGAGTTATACAACAGTGGTGACGCCGCCGTCTCCTTGGACGGCTACGTGCTTCATGACGACAAAGGAGTGGTGCATGAAGAAGCATTTTCGTTCCCTTTGGATGCCATGATTGAGAGTCAAGAATACCTCTTGCTCTGTGTTGAAATGATGTTGGATGAAGATAATTCCTTGGTAGATCCCATGTCTCCTCAGTTTGGAATTGGAGGAGATGATACCATCACCCTGCTTCGCGCCGTTACAGAAACTACTGAAGCTGCCAATGACACCGAGGCCGTTGTGGAAAAAGCAAGTGCTACCACTTTGGTGGTCGTTAGCACCGTGGGTCCATTGCCAAATACCAATAGTCGATTTGGAGTTTCTTACGCTCTTGATCCCGACACAAATCAATTCACCTATACACAAACCCCGACACCCGGTGCCCCCAACGTGATTTCAGAGCTTCTGACCGAGGCCGAGTTGTTGGCCAATATTAGGTCAGCACTCAAGGCTCAGAATGATCTAGGAACCAAGTTCTTTGGGATGGATGACCGTGGATACCCCGTGCTGGACGACGAATTTCCTGCCGTGCTTGATTTGCAGGTTTCCATGGCAGAAGAAGATTTCTCTGCGATGATGGCCAATGCGTCTTGGGAGTTATACAAACCCTTTTCCAATGCCACCTTGGTGAATCCTGAAACGGGAGTGGAAGTCTGGTCTCGTACAACTGCTGGACAAATTCGATCCAAAGGCCAATCCAGTCTGTGGATGCCACTGTGTTTGGACTCGACAGCAATCCCATTTCAACTCGATTTCAGTTCCAGAGACTTGAACCAGACCTTGTTTGGCGCGGAAAAGATTTATTTGAGGAATCACATGTCTGATTACTCCTACATGAGGGACCAGTATTACTATCGAATGCTCGCTCGGTTTGGATTGCCACACTTGAGAGGTCGCAAGACACGGCTCTACATTAACGGACAATACAAGGGGTTGTACACGCTTCTTGAGGCACCGGATCAAGACTATGTGTTTGCCCGTAACTTTCCGACATTTGACCCTGACAAATACGCACTCTTCAAAGTCAAGTCATATGCCTTGGATTGCGGCTCGTTCACAGAAGAGGAATACCGCAATGCAACAATACGCCTGGAAGAGCTTCAGGCACAGGCCACAGAAGATGGGAAGCTTCCTCCTTATCTGTTTGAACGGGGAGAACACAATCCGCCGGTGGAGGTATTGGGCCTCTATGAGCAAGACCAGTGCCTGGACAACTTCTTGAATGATCTATGGAGGACGTGGGTGGACGTTGTGGTTGCGTACGAACAAAACGATCGAGACTGCGGCGAAACACTGGTCAACGAAGGCCTTATTGACTTGGATTTGGGCACCAACAACTACAAAAACGACATGAAGGACTTTGTCAATCGGTTTTATAGAGGGGATGAACCATGTACAGAAGATTGCGCCAACCAAGCCAACATCGACGAAGAAATGGATGTGCAACATGCCCTGCGCGCCATTGCCTTTTACGCCGCGCTTGTAGTGAGTGATAGCCCCTTAATCAGGTGAGAAAGTCGTGTGAAACGTCCATCATATCGGCATCATCATGGCAGCATGCCGCTCACACATCGCCTTTTCCTTTGTCTACAAGTGGCAACAACTTTTTACTGGCCGCAACTGGGGATGACCTCGGCTGGAAGTTCTTCCCGGTAAGCGCAGAAAGTTACGTCCACCGAAGCCATCGGCTTCCATACTCAACTCTGTTTCTCCCAGTATGACTTTAATGTAGCCCGTGTTTACTTCTGTCATGATGACCTTTGCAATACGAGGGCCGTCCACTGGAGCATCGCTCGGCCAACATGTGAATCATTGGAAAGTGCCCCGCTGGTGGGGCCGCTCCTTTCGAATCCGACTTATCATAAACAATACCTTGAATACGTCAGAGAGTTCCTGGACACGGTCCTGACAAACTCGTCGCTAATTGAAGAGATTCAAGATCACGCAGCAGCGATTAGATCCTTTGTAAGGGAAGACCCTTGGGCTCTGCTCGGGACATACTTTTCCGACGAGCTTTCCCCGGACGCTGCAGATTGGAGGGAAGAGGACCGACGTTTCCCTTTGCTTCCAACCATGAAAGCCCGAGCTGAAGATCTACGCGAACAGTTTGCTAGCATTGATGCAGGCACATTCCCACGTGGCCCTCATGTGGGTGTCTACGGAGACAATGAACCATGGGAACCCTGTCCCGATTGGAGATCCGCCGAGGCAAATCGAACGAGCTGCGAACAGGGCTGCATGTACGACGGCTGTCACATTCCTGGACTAGCAGTCGAAAGCTTTTGCGACGAGGAGACAGGACTGTGTTTCCACGGCGATTATGATGAACGTTGCCGTGGCATCTACGACGAAGAAAAGTATCCAGGAATGGAGAACACAGAGGATGGACGGGAAACTTTCTGCCGATTTGCTGCTGGCGTCCCTGTAAAGGCAGCACAATGCCCCGCCCCAGGCGCCGTGACATTGTCCTCCAGCAACACGGGAGAGTCGAGCGCAAGCGCGTCTTTTCGTGTTTCCTTGTTGGTAGTGGTGTCAGGTTTAGCTGCAGTGACCGCCTCATTGTGGTAGATTTCTAAAGAGTCGAGTCAACCTGTCCAGATCACCTTTTAAAAGAGTAAATACATAGATCATGTTACCCTGCGTTGAAGACACATTTTTAGTTGGCTACTCTGTAAGCTTTTGCATGATTGTGCCTCACTTTGCACTGTTTACAGAGACTACAATCGGAGAACCTGCCAGTGCGCCGGTTGGAACGAGTGGCAACTTGTTGGTAGCAGACTGGTATCAGAGCTCTGACTAGTTGCTCAAGCAAGTCAAGACAATTCGATTCCAGCTTTCCAGCTGCGGTAGTACCGGTAGACTTTAAGGCTTTTCCAAAAGCATTGGGCTTTTCTTCCGTGGATAGGAATCTACCTAAACCCCCGTCGATGATTCGATTGATCATTCCATTCAATCCTCCTTCTTTGTTGTATTGCCTGGGATTCAAGTCAACCCCTGGAATCTTGACAACAATCCAAGACAGAGCCTAATTATTGTGGAAGTCAAATGAGCACACTTACACAGCACTGCTTTGGCTCATAAAACAAAACACAAACAAACCAAAACAGTTTCCACACTCGACAAAGAACAAAATCAATGCTCACCACCGCCTCCGACATTGTTTCAAATCCAATCATCAACGAATCGGACAGTGTCATCGCTGAGTTGGAGAAGTCCATTCTTGATCTTGACAACATGATTACCCCTCTGCGAACCAAGACACAGAAGAAACTCAACAAGATTGAAGAAGAGATTACAACTGCAACTGTCTGATTGCTTGCTTCTGGATTGGGATCCAAGAAGGATCAAGCAGAACTCCGCAAGAACAAGAAATCCCTTCGCAATCGACGGGTCAAGCTCTGGGATGAAATGAAGGCTCTTCCTGCATTGGAGGAGGAACACGCGGATCTGGTATACCAACTCAAGGACCTTCGCCGTCGCTATGGAATCCTAGATGACGACATCTGACATGCGGCCTCATGTTGGAAGAGACTGTTTGTAGCTCTCACATTAATTACTAGTGAAACTCATTATCACTTATTCATTCATTCCTTGATTTGGGTTCGTAGACTAGCAGCGCCATTTACAAAGTTGCTTGCATGTGCCTATCAGGTAGCTCGTACCGGTACCGTTGGCTGCGTGTTCCAGCACACAAAAAACGGAAAAGCTACAAGCCGCTACCCTAAAACAAGAAAAGATTACTTAACATGACACAGATATACTCTAAAACGTGAAGGTGAATGCATTTGAGGGTGCATGAGTTCGAATGAGATAACTGTGGTCCGCTTCTTGTGCTGGGGTGCGTGGATGGCATATAAAATGAGTCGAGCGCGTGGTAGGGACATGTTGCGTGCTTCGATATTCATGGTGTGTTGACGTGGTGATTGGGGATTGTGTACGGTGTTGCTGCGCCTGCAATGAGCGAATGCGCGGGTGGAGTGTATGCTGTGGTTCGTATGAGCTGGGTGCTATGGACAAGCAAAAGGCGAGTGTGGCGTTGTGTTGTGTGTGGATGATTTTGCCGACATGAAGTGTGCGGTGCTGTCAGACGCAGATGTAAATCAGTGGATGCATCAAAAGACATCGTAGTCAGTACCGTAGTCCGACTTTGGTGTGCACGTGTTTGTTCCTCATCATCCGCAAAGAAGCACCAACAAGTACACCAGAGTGAGTGACAACATTTGGCATTCACCGTGTCCAAACGAGAATGCGCTCTCCCTTTATGGCTTCATGTTGCCCTCGGTCCATTGCAAACAAATAATGGGAAGAGGAGAGCGCCTTTCCTGCTGGACATGTTCAGGGTGGAACGTTGACAATTTGACCCTTCCATCAAGATCGGGCAGAGTCTTGACAATGTTCATGACTTCTTTGGTGAACTTTTCCAAGCTTGTGGCACTGCTGGATAAGAAGTGAGGCATAACAAGGTACTGGCGTCGAGATCCATGAATGTTGTCCACCGACGCTTGATGCTTTTGCATGGCCAAGTTGGTGAACACAAACTCGTAAGCATGGTCAACCTCGGCAGATTCACTCTCGGTAAACGGTGATGTAACTGGCGAGAACTTTTCGTCATTCTCCGTGATCCACTGTTGTGCCATGCGCATGTGACTGACGGGCGAAATCTCTTCAATGGTCTTTCCAATCGAAGCGTAAAAGTCGTGTTCTTCTCCCTTTGGTTCCGAACTCTCTTTCTTTTCGTCTCCTCCAGTTTGAAGGGGGTGGTCCTTAGCAGCGGCTTTGCCAAAGAGAGCTTCTAGTTTTTGAATATCCGAGGCTGTGACTTCCTTTTGCAAAAGTTTCTTGCGATTGTACTTGTACTGCTCCGACATGCCTTCTCCTTCCTCATCGTCTTCGTCGTCTGTAACGTCCGCAGCCTGTGGCGGTGGAGGAGGAATGGCATGACCCCAATCGGGAGGGGGGGTGGCTCGAACTTCCACGACAACGGTGGGATATGGCGACTGACGTGCCAAGAGGCGCTTCTCGGCGTATTCCTGTGCATGTAGATCTACCTCTCCCGATTCCTCTTCTTCCTTCATTTGTTGCAACTCTTCTTCTGGTGATTTCTTTCCAAAATCAGGATGCAAGTGGGCACAATTGACACTGACACTGTTTGATGGAAAGGTATAGAAAGAGTTAGCAATGTCTTAGACTCTTGTAGTGGTTTCATTTCATTTCCCATTGACTAGCTAGTATTAATAGACTCACCTCCACTCACGAGCCTCTTCTCCTGCCATTTCTTGATCAAGGCGTTCAATGCTCGTATCGGTGACATAATCACGAGCATTGCGTCTGGCAGTATTGACGGCATTGATGAAATCATCAAAGACTTGGAAACTCCCCGACAGGTTTTCATTTCCAGGAATCACCATGACCTGTGTTTGACGCAGTGTGTGTGGACGGTAATTGGAGCCTGCCATGCCAATACAGGAGAAAGAGAAAATGAGGCTACTATTTCGTTCCGTATTCACCACTCAGCACATGACTCACCTTGATCAACCTTGTGATCTGCCTCCGTTTTTCCGTGTCGCTGTCCCAACTCTCTTGCTTCTCTCAGTCGCTTGAACATGTTGGCTGCAATCATGGGTGAATCGGCGTTGGTCTCACAGACATAATTAACTTCCTTTCGAGAGTAGGGATTGCCATTGTCGGTTTCGGTGCTGGCAAGTGTCTCACAAATCCAGCGTTCGGTGTGCGCCAAAACGGACCAGACATTGGCTTGATCTCCACCTCCTCCCTTGGCTGCGCCATCGGGAGAATTCTCGTACATCAGCCATGAAGCACGGTACCCAGTGGCTTGCTGCATCGGTCGTCCTGTAAAGGTGGACAACCCAGCAAACGCGGCCACAGAACTGACACCGGCGATCCAGGAAACAGCAGTAACAAACTTCATCTTGGAATACAATATTAATAAAAAACAATGACAACAGAACAAAGGAAGTCTCTTCTCTTCTCTTTCAAAAAAAATGACCGACTGAATGATGCCTCTTGGGTTGATGACAGAAGAAGGAATATCAACTTGGTTGACAACTGATTTTTGTGGTCTGCATGAAGAGAGTGAGTCAAAAGGATTCTCGAACTCGATCTTACTTTCGAACAATGCCAATGGCAATCACAACAAAAGACACCCATCACATCGTGCCGCAGAATTGATTGGCAGATGGCCAAAAACGTTCCGAAAGAACTCTGGATTTTTTGCTCGGAATTCAATTCTTTCTCCATGGTGACACGCCTTCCCACTTGTGATTCAATCAGCCAATCAGAAATTTGCACGTCATCAAAAGACAATTTGGAGACATGATGGTTCAATTGTTTCTCTTTCTGTGGGGAGGAAGCAGCTGCAACAAAAAGGGGGAAGACTTCCTCCACCAGCTTTGGGAGGAGGAGAATTCTGCTTGGCAGGCTAGCAAGCTTAGCTTAGCTTCATGGTTTTGCTACAGTACAGTAGCGAGCACTAGGTCGCTTGACATTGGGCCTTCAAAGCTCCTGGCTGGTATGTGATACAAATACAGGCTAACTTGGGTTGGGCTCTTGGATTGGCATTCCTTCCTGCAGCTGTTTGTTGTACATGTGGCTGGTGTTTGTTCAGGAATTGGTCCAGGAGGGGGCAATGAGTTGGAGATGGAGGTGGGCATGCTGTATTTTAAAATAGGAGCAGGTACTGGTATACTTGAGAGGAACTGGGAGTGGGGCCACAATGCATGGACGTGGCCAGGTCTAGTGAGGCCCAGTTGTTGGCCCTGCTGTAGCTGTCTAGCTAGTCCCAGTCGCTGGTCGTGGTGTTGGGTCGTCAGGTGAAGGCCCTGGACCCACTCAAGGGGTGGGTCCTGGTTTGTTGGGTTAGCAAAGGTGTAGGCACTGGAGCTAGCCGGGGGATTGGTCCAGCAACGCAGCCAAAGTGTGGGTTCTGGTGTACAGGTACCCCAGGTAGGTCCATGAAGTTTGACGTGCTCGCCCACTGGTACCGTCTCGAAACAACGAAAGCACTGTCACGACACCTTGTTGCCGCGTTGCCTTCACCTCAGCTACTTGCGGTAGGCAATTGGCGACGCGCTTTCCCACACGCCAGAAAAATATGAAAATAGATTATTATTGTTTTATTAAATAAATGTCTTGAGTGATTTCGCATCCGTCCCGAGGGGATCGAATCGGAGCGTCTCCCATGTTCAAAAGGAAGGAAGAAAATGTTTTAATGTGACATCGGAGAGCTCTGATTGATTGCAGCCAACAACAGCAACAAGTCAGAAAGATGGTGTCGTTCGCCTGAACCTACAGGCAGAAAGGAGCACCTCTTTTTTGAAATTGTCGAGGGGAAGCATGTAGGAGGTAATGGTGTCTCAAGACTTGAGAGAAGCTCGATAATTATAGCGAACTGTCGTCAAACTAATAACTTTTGTTTGATGGCGGCTGTCATTGCTGTCTGGCCAGAATACTAATTTTCGCTGGGGTCGCACACTCATCTTCCGCTAACTTTCTTATCTCCATCGCCGTTGGTAGCATTGGCTGCGTGAGGGGGGATGAGCTGTGGGGATCAAGAGACAAGAGCGTGAGCTTCCGAGCCCAAAATAAAAATCGCCAACAAAGAGAAGGGAAGTTCAATGGTGCCGTACCTTATCCAACAGCTCTCGTGAGGCCGACATTTCGTGCTCTGTAAAGTCAAAGAGAGGTGGCAAAGCACCTCCATTGTTGGGCAGCTGTGTTGACTCTTGGCGCAACTCATCAAAGAATGTGTGAGCACAACCCTCCAGCGGCTTGAGTCGCTTGGATGGGGTGTATGCAAGCGTGGCCGCGATGAAATCCATAGCTTCCTCGGGTGTCTTGTTGCGGAATATCTTTTTCCATTGACATCCCTTGATCTGGGGGAACTTGAACTCGATGTAGTTGGAGTTCATTGATCGGATCTCCTCTTTGGTGGGAGTTCCTAGCACTTTGATGATTTCTACCAATTGGTCCACGCCCGAATCCCCCGGGAAGAGTGGCTGTGCCAATAACAATTCGGCGCCAACGCAACCTTGGGACCAGATATCAATGGCCGTAGTGTAATCTGTGGAGCCAAAGATGAGCTCGGGTGCTCTGTAGTAACGAGAGCAAATATACGATACGTTGGGCTCGCCTCTGACCAAAGCTTTGGCGCTTCCAAAGTCACAGAGCTTGAGCTGTTGATTCTGCGGATTCACCAAAAGATTCTGCGGCTTGATGTCACGATGACAAATGCCAAGAGCATGAATATGAGCCAGCGCTCGAGACAGCTGGTATAAATAAAGCTTGACATATAACAGAGGCAAAGGCATGCTGTGTTTTTGGTGCCGTCTGCTGATTGAGTAGACAGTTTCGGGAACGAATTCCAGCACGAGGTTAAGATACAATTCATCTGGCTTTTCTCCCTGTTTGTACGAATTTGCAGTGACAACATAGATAGAAGGGGATAGGTGAGGCACTTGTTGTCTGTTCGACCATTAGTCATTGAGTCAAGTCAATCCTGTAAGATAACACCCCATGATACCCACCTGTGAGTAGAAACAGTGACGGAGCGCCACGATGTTGGGATGTGGATCTTTGACTAGCTGTCTCATTATCTGAAGCTCTCGGTTCTTGAAGCGCTTGTCCTGCAAGACTTTCTTAATGGCAACAACTTCCCCTGTTTCCACAACCTTGGCCTCAAAGACTACCCCAAAGGACCCATTACCGATAATACGCTCGGCAGAATAGGATATATTTTGCTCCGTAATAGCACCACTGCCTTCGCTTCCTTTCGAAGAATCAGCAGCGGGGATGGTACCAGATGCTGCAGGTAGCGCTGCTGCTGCTGCCGACGAGCCGGTCTCGTTGTTGTTGCTGGATGCCATGGCCGCAGGTTCTGACATGGTAGTAGTAGAGACCTGCTGGTAAGCTCCTTCAGCTGTCGTCTTGGTAAGCGTAGGGGCTGCCGCCAAAGATGTCATACAGTAAAGAGAGGCCTGGTATTCCTGTGTTGCTGTTGCTGCTTAATGAGTTGCTGGGTCTGGAAGTGGCCTTGTTGGAGCTACCTCGAGGCTACCGTAGGACTCCCCTTCTCAAAAGATACTGCACGTAGACGCTACGGGAATCTACTACCGCAGTTCACTGCTGTATTCACGCCCTTGGGATTATCACTCTTGTACCCAAGCTGTTGAGAGCTTTCAATACCAGCCACTCTTCACAAACAGACAAGCAACAATGGGATCCAACAAGGACAGCTGTGGTTGTTGGTGTCTGAACTGTTGACTGTCCCTTCTCTTGTGGTTGCTGGAGCTCGTTCTCTGCTTTGGCATCTCCAGGATAGGATCGAGCCGACGCTGACAGCTGCAGAAGAGAGCATTTGGATCTTGGGCTTCGTCGCCGATGTGGTCTGTCCTTCGATCGTCGCGGTCTTTTCCCCGCAAGGTGACCGTGCACACCGCACTGAACCTGCAACCCTATCGCCCTCGCTTGCGGAGCCTGCCTGCTGCTGCAATGATGACATGGAGCTGGTTATCTTGCCAGCAGTCAAGCCAAAAGGGAGCAGTAGCACCAAGTAGGGGAAGGATACGATGCATTCCCTGCAGGAACGAGATATCGTTCAGCTTCAGTTCTGTCCATCTGTTCCTCTTTCATTTGTGTGAATAGAAGAGATGGAAACACCCTGACTTGCTTACCCGAGGATCTTCTGAGAGCTGAGCGCTCTGGCACAAACTCCTCTAACCACTAGCCCCGCAGCTCTCCATTTAAGGTCTATGGAAAAAGTCCACAGTGGGGCACAACTGTGAAAGAGCCTACCTAACTAAGGAAGAGCAAACTTTAAATACAATCATTCTGCAGCACAGCAGTGATCTATATATTATGCGTGGTCATAATATTTCTTGGAGGCTAGAGTCAACCTGACACCACCGAGAACAAGCAGCAAAACACGGAAACATGAGCATGTACTGGAATCTCCCGTGTTGCTGGCGGATAATGCAGCCAATGGTGCCCGAAGCGGGGACATTGTACAGCATTTACATGGATGCAAATGGCACGTTTAGTCTACAAACTGAAATCAAGGTTACTGGTATGAGTTTCACTAGTAGTTAATGTGAGAGCTATAAGAAATATCTTCCAACATGAGGCCTCATGTCAGATGTCGTCATCTAGGATTCCATAGCGACGGCGAAGGTCCTTGAGTTGGGTTACCAGATCCTCGCGTTCCTCCTCCAATGCAGGAAGAGCCCCCATTTCATCCCTGAGCTTGACATGCCGATTGCGAAGGGATTTCTTGTTCTTGCGGAGTTCTGCTTGATCCTTCTTGGATCCTAATCCAGAATCAATGAGAAAGTTGCAGTTTGTAATCTCCTCTTCAATCTTGTTGAGTTTCTTCTGTGTCTTGGTTCGCAGAGGGGTAATCATGTTGTCAAGATCAACAATGGACTTTTCCAAATCAGCGATGGCACTGTCGGATTTGTTGATGATTGGATTTGAAACAGTGTCAGAGGTGGTGGTGAGCATTACTTGGGTTCTTTGTGGTGTGTGGAAACTGTTTTGGTTTGTTTGTCTTTTGGTTTGTTTTATGAGCCAGAGATCTGCAAGTTTGCACATTTTGACTCCCACAATTAGGCTCAGTCTTGTATTGTTGACAAGATTCCAGATTCCTTTCTGGGTTGACTTCATTCCCATGGCAATAGAACCAAATAGGAATCAAAGCAATGGATAGGATTGACTCCCGCGTCCTTCCCACATCCAAAAGCCATGATTGAAATGATTTAGCCATCGTTGGGAGGCAACAGACAGTTTGTTGGTTCAGCTAGCTTGCTACATGTAGCAAGCTGGCTGGTAGCATTTGTTCACAGATTGTATGGCCTTGCTTGTTCACAGCTTGTTCACAGCTTGTATGGCCTTGCAGCAAAAATGCACGTTCAGAGCTGTGCTAAGTAGCGACGAGCTTCCGAAAGAATCGAACGAGGTAGCGATACATGTTCTACGTTTCCAAGACCAACGATCATTGGGATAGCATGTTAGACAAGTGTGGTTGAGTGGTTGATGCTTATGCATTGACAGGATACCGGTAGGAGACAAGCTAAGCGAGCCTGTCTTTGATTGTCGCCGCAAAAAATGATCTTCCTTACTGTAAGGGGAGGGTTAAAATCACCTCGGTTTCATGAATCTTGTGAGAATGAGCCACCCATCACGCATCACGCATCACGCATCACAGCGGTCTTGGAGTGCACTGTGTTTGTGTCGGTGAAGTAGTGACAGTCAAGTCAGTCAAATGAGTGGTTCAAGGTTAGGAAAGCAGTATAAAGAAGTATGGTTGTTTCTACTCCTGCTTCTTGCACGATCTGGCTGCAGTTTCGTGTGGCAGAGTCCCTTTGCTAAAGTAGCAAGATTGGGAAAAGCCAGGTGGTATCCACAGGCGACTCGAGACGATTACGTTGGGACTACTAGTGCTGCTGGTACTGGCTCCATCGACTCCGAAGAAGCTCTGTTAAAAGGATTCATTACAAATCTATTTTCCGTTTGTGCTCACATCCAAAACCCAGATCTTTACGAGCCCACATGGGCAGACAACGCCAGTTTCGAAGAAGAAACAAATAAATTGTTGACGTCCACGAGAGTGGCCAAAGGACAAATTGTCAGTCTGGTTCCTCTGAATGCCCTGGGTCTCGCCTTGCCCAAGAAGCAAGGGAACCGTAAAAAAAGACGAAAAACCAAAAAGGCAGAACCGACAACAAAAAAGGACTTTGTAGTCTTTGACCAAGATCGAGATGGAGCCTACTTTCAGGGACAACTTTCCCAGTCTCTCAAGAATTCGGAACCGCTCCGAAACGACTACAAGATCCGCATGCCACTCTCCATTGCCATTCATGGCAAACCACATGACTGCAACATCTTTGTTGATATAAACCCAAACCATCCACCAATCAGTGGATGGATGGGACACATGGCAACCAGAGCCCAGGAAGAAGAAACACCCAACTGCGTGATAGTACAGCTGTTGGGACCTGGTCCACTTTGCGCATTGGTGGCTACGACGGACATGGAAGAGGGGACAGAACTTGTAGTGGCATCTCTGCAAGAGCCCTTTGACAATCCACAATTCAGGGCTATGGTGGCTGCCAACTACAGAGTCGAGCTGCAGGAATTGGGTTCTTATCTCGAGATGGTCTACCAACCGCCCATTGAGCCAAGGCTGCCAGAGCGTGTGATTCTCAAGCAGGACAGAATGGGAATTGCTGCATCATCGCTGTTTCATACAGTCAATCAGGACTATCCTGGTCTGGACTATCTTTATCGCGACCCTGACATTCTGGTCATTGACAACTTTCTAACAGAGGAAGAATGCGACGCAATCATTCCTCATGCAGCAAAGCATCTATATCCTTGTGTGATTAAGAGTCCTGAAACAGGCAAGGTGTATCAAGATCCTACCCGCACAAGCACCAATGCCAACATGCCACAACGAGATGTCCCGGAAATTGTCGAAAAGATTGTCAATTTGGTCCAATGCCCGGATGCTTCGTATCTGGAACCCTTGCAGGTCCTCAAGTACACCAAAGGACAGACGTTTGTACCTCACACGGACGGTTTCGAAGGACCTACCACAGCAGGTGGATTCTACGACTCGGGGCGATTGGTCACCGTCTTTTGTTACCTCAACGACGTTCCATCCGGTGGAGAGACACGCTTCAATCAACTGCGCGATGAAAACAACAAACCGCTTTCCATTGCACCGAAAAAAGGCATGGCCGTCCTACACTTTCCCACCACGACGGAATTGCAGGAAGATCCTCGCACGGAGCATGAAGGGTGTCCTGCTGGTGATTTCGAAAAATGGTGCTGGTGACATGGATGTGGCAGCATCCTCGGACAGATCCACAATACGCAGAGAGCAAGTTCCCTTCCATCATGGGCAAGGATTAGTTTGGTTTGGTCGAGACAACTTGTTAAAAGTGAACGCTTCGGGGGGGGGGCTCAACTGTTTTGACATGGCGCTTGCACTCCTCTCACTTTCAAGGAGCCTTGCCCCCCAGACACGTCAGACGCCATTCTGTTGTACAGCTGGTGGCTCTGTCCCCCAAAGCACGATGGTGTCATTCCGCCAAAAGTTCACTGCTTTTGGACTAAGGCACCGGTGTTACACATTCTTCTAACTGTTGTTTACCACTTGTATTGATTATTTTCGTATATTTTACCCGACAAGGTGGACTCGTCACACCCAGACCCTCGATTCTTACCGTACCCGTCTTGAGAAAGGTTAAGATGTGGCTTCCTTAACCTTCTGATTCATATTCAAGACGGCCCTCAAATACCTTTCCCGATACATGAACGAGTCTTTTGACCGAGGGGACTGGCGCCTGTTGCTCCCATGAACAGGAATCTTGTCAGGCAGCTTCCCTAGCGTGGCGAATCCTCGACGTCTCGGTGACACCACCTGCCTCTTGTTTGCGGATTCACCAGCAATGTTTACTTCCCATTCCATTATTGCCTTCTCCCTTAAGATTGCTAGTTGCTTTTCTGGAGAACGACGTTCGGCCTCGACGCCAAAATCGAGCAGCATTGGCCGTACCATCGTACTTGATGGCGAGCTCGTGTTAGAGCGACTATGCTGATCCGCGAAGAAATCTCCAAACTTGGACCCCGCTTGAAACACAAGTTGACCGATGCGTTCTTCGCAACAGATATCCTCTACAGTTGCTGTGGAGATGAGGAATGGTAAGAGGGTAATCACAGCCGACGCTGGTAGCTCATACTTGGTTTGCAAGAATTGATACAAGTCTCGAATCATAAAGGACAACCGTTGTCTTCTAGCGGCAGGAGCTTGGCTGAAAGGTGACAATGAAAACACTACCCAATCCTCCACAAAGCCCAGGAGCTGATCTGTGGGTGTCCCTCCCGCTGACAGTCTTGTCAGCTTTTGTATCAACACAAGGCAGTTGTTTCTTTGCAAAGGAGTCTTGGTTTCGATGGGAAGCACAGGACTCCAAGCTTCTATTGTGCGATTGAACAGGTCACTTTCCGCCACCACCTGGCGAGCAGCTTGCTGTTCCGACTCTGCAGCAGGCAACGGCGTCTCTGGTTCTGACTCGAAGTCGTCAACCTGCATCATCTCTTCCGTGTCCTTCTCACTGCCATTTGTCTGGTTTGCCTTCAGTTCCTGGAAGCTTTCATCCTCCTCCATCCAACTCAGCTTTGAAGATGCGCGAGAGATGCTTGTACCCACAACATCTTTCAAAGACTCGTTGATTTTGTTTGCTGTTTTGCAGACTTCGTTCTTGAGGTCATGAAGGAAGCTTGAGTGTCGGCCCCTCCAGCTTCCATTAGACGGATCAGTTTCAGCACTGAAGGTCAAGTGGAGATTGAAGGATGGAATGCTACCACCTGTTTGATTGGTATCTTCACTGGAAGATGCAAGCAGATTGCCAAACTGATTTTTGTGCTGTAGTAGATTGCGCTCTGCAACCAGCACCTGTTGACTGTCCTTGGGCAGATGCATTGTGTGCTCAAATAGACCTGGTTGGGTCCGATCAGAATGATCATGCTCCCCTTTGAAGGCTCGTGTTTCGATGCATTCAAAGAAAAGATCAGGATCAGTAATCTCGATGTCACTCCCACTGTCACTGTGGATGCCCACCCCATTCAAGAGCGGAAAGAAATCAGAATCAGTAAGGCTCACGTCCTCTTCACGATCGCTGTGCCTATCACCCCCTTTCAGCGACTGGGTGGCAGACATATTCATTACTTCTTGCATTGACCTATCAATCTGGGTTGCCACTTGATGGATGTTATTTTCAAGACCATTAAGAAAGTTTGCGTGCCTTTTTCTCCAGCTTCTATAAGATGGATCAGTGTCACCACTGAGAGTCAACTGGAGACTGTCGGATGGAATACTGCCAATCGATGGATCAGCTTCAACGCTAGAAGCTGAAAGCAGATCGCCAGACAGATACTCCGTGTGCTCAAACAAACTGGGTGCCTCAATTGCAGCAGGTTCGTGTTCCCCTTGCATTGCCGGGTTGCACTCAAAGAAAACATCAGGCCCGGTAGTTTCTATGTCACTTTCATGGCAACCCTTGACACTCAGCTTATTCGTGTGTAACGACAGATCCGATGCAGCAAAACTCAATTCCTCTTCAACTTGCGTGTACACCTCACTAGGCGGCTTCAGGGATTCCTCAAACATGTTCAAGACTTCCTTTAATGATTCGTCAATCCGATTTCCAGCTTCAAGAACTTCATTCTCAAGTTCGTAAAGGTAGCTTGCATTCCTGCCTCTCCAGCTTGTCAAAGATTTATCAGCCTCGTCATTAGAAGCAAAACGATAATTGTCATATTTGGTGCTTCCGACCGATGGGTTTGTTTCAATGCTCGAAGCCAAGAACAGAGTGTCAACTGGGCTATTCGCGCCGTCACCCCCACTGGTATCCATGTCGTTGTCACTTCGACTGTTCATCGTACAGATCAAATTTCCATGGTCATTAGTGGCAGTCAGAACTTCCTGTTGCTCCTCATCCGAATTATATTGGACCCTTCCTTTCACCGGCATTGATGTCCCACATTCAAGTATACTAGACTCAGTAGTGTCTCTTTCACTTTGTGCGTTGGCCATCGAGATTATAGTTGCATGGTCGTGCAAGTCAAGCTTTTCTGTTTCCGAGCTCTGGCTGTCTACGGGCAGAGTGCCTCGCACGTTCTCTTTTGCCGATACACCGCCTCCCGAAAGGGCTAGGAGCGCAATGACGGTGAGAAGGCTTCTTTGCTCCTCTGTCGGGGCTGTTTCTACGGCCTCTTCTGTCTCGTAATATTGTTCCCTGCCGACGTTGCATCGTCTGGGAGTACGTGTATCAGTGGCAAGCACTAAAAATGCTTCGTTCCCAAGACGTTCCATGTCGTTGCTGCGAATTGTTATTGCGTCAGGGACCGCCACTCCTGGTACCATTTGAGTGGGTTCCAGGCCATTGTTGTCTCTTGTTGGAGGACCAATTCCGTGTCTAGCTTGGCCTGTGCTGCCGTTTTCGCTTAAAGTAGCGTTGTCATCTGCGGCCGTCTCTGCTTTCGAGAGATTGGATGTCACCGGCGTTGCTGCGCTTTCCCCACTCCTCAAAGACCGATCCTCCCCTGAAGAAGTATCTTGTTCGAAACTTTGACTGTATTGAAGTGCGTGAACATGAAGACCCGGCTGAGCATGGACCAATCGGTTAGCTGTACCGGTACGTTGTCGGCGGATCATTCGACCGCCTAGACCACAAAGCAATAGAATGGTCCAGAACCAGACATGAGATACGCTGCTCTGGTGACTATCGATGCTCATGCTTTCAGTCGACGGTTTCCGAGTGGTCATGGGAGGTCGGACCTGCAAACTCATTGGAACTGAGCTGCCCAATGGCTCATTGCTCTCCGAAGCAAACAACATAGGTTCACTCCATTGGCATGTATGATCAAATGAGAGATGTTGTTGTGTGGTCTCCGAATTGAAAGCTTCCACTCGCGGGCTGGTGGACTCTTGGTTTCTAAGTGGCTTGTCGCGAGATTCAGTCCATTGGCCACTACTAATATCTTCAAGGGAGGATTGGTGTGTCGGCCTTGAGGAGGAATGTTCCACGACAGAGCTGGCGAGATCCTGGTTTCCAAGTGGCTCATCGTTGTCATTTTGTCTCAGGAGAGGTTCGCTCCAATGACTTGTATCATCAAGAGAGGGTTGATGTACTGTCCTTGAATAATGCAAAGTATGTTCCACATGCAAGTTCACGAGCTCTTGGCTACCTGCTACAAATGGTACCGGTAGTGGCTGGCCATTGACAAGCAGAGGTTCATTCCCGTGGCCTGTGCCAGCAAGCGAGAGCCCATGCATGGTCCCGGGAGAAGGAACGGAAGGGGTGGCATGCAAGCCATTGAGCCCTTGTTTGCCCATTGACTGGGCTTTGCCCTCCAAAAGGGGTTCGCTCCCCTTGCTAGCTTCACCAGGAGAGGGTTGATGTGTGATCCTTGGTAGAGAAATGGATGGTTCATTGGACTTAGTTGGCTCTTGATTGCTTAGTGAGTTGCCTTTGTCATTGCCCTCCCATTGGGGTTCCCTCCCTTTGTCTGTGGCGTCAAGCGAGGGCAGACCTCCATCATCTGTGAACTCTGTTTCGACGAAAAAAGAGTGTGATGATACCGATTGCGAAGGGCATATAAGCTCATCCATTGGTGATTCAATATCTTGAGTTTGTACTGGGAAGCGTGATGGGTACCGGTACTCCCTCTGAGGACCCATTAAGCTATCAGTCCATTCGTCCCACCAAGATTTGGGTGACACATGTGGCGAAATGATTGTGGAGTCTTCTGTGGCTGATTCACTATTTTTGTGTGCTTCTACTTTGTCATGTGTTGGATTGAGCGCCTCCTCCAATTCACTGGTTTCCTGAGGTTCAACTGGATATTGGCTTGGTTGGAGCACCTCATTGATCTGGGATATGTCTTCCTTACTACTACTATCACCGTCATTCACCACCCCGTCAATGAAATTCTCATGGTGTGCTACCGCCTCCTCTGACCAACGCAATATTGGTGGTCGAGGCATATCTGAGAAGACATGCAATAGACGCAGGTCTTGGAATTCTGGCATCCCCCCCGGTGGTGGTGCATTCGTCCACAGACATTGCTCCATATGCGTTTCAAGGAATATCCCCTTGCTACCATCGTTACCATCTTGGAGTTTATAATCTTCTAGAATAGGACATAGCTCATCCTCTGCGTGATTTGGGAACAGAATGAGATCATCATCCAATGTACAGATGTTTTCCGCAGAACTCTCTTTTGACACTCCCCATTGGTCTTCACCAACAATCCAAGGTCGCTTGCGCACAAAGGCAACATGTTGTATTCTCTTTTCCAGAGCAACACAAGGGATGGGGACCTTCTTAATATACCATGTCTTCTTCGCCACAAAGTAGCACGGATAGTGAACTGCAAAGTCGTTTATTCTTGTGATCATCCTGTTTGTACTGAGTGCGTCTTGTCACCCACCATGGTTGTTCCTCCTCTGTATTCTCTATAGACTGCTTCGCTGAATAACAATAATGTAACTGCACCGCCAATGCTGATGTGATGACGAGTGTTCCGAAATTCAAAATGCATCGGACGTTACGGTACCAACTATAAGCCGGCATAGATGTTTCACAACAGAGAGTGGGTCAGTCCTTGTTATTACTCCAATCATACACAGCTAGCTTTCTCTGTGTACATGACAAAGTCAATGTCAGCTTTGTTGGTGATGCGATGCTCAGCCAGCCAGCTCACAAACTTTTCTGAACTGAGTCCCTTTGTTTTTTTTTATTGCAGTTTCTGCTCTTTGCATCTCCGCTTGACCTCGTGGAGGTAATGCTTCTTCTGAAGAAAACGAGACTTGCGGTTGTAGGGCTCAACATATTGAAAACCATCATGCTGACCATTCTCTTCTTTTAGTTAGACCCAGAGAGAAAGCTAAAATCAAGGAAGTCCTCCCCAATGGTCAACTCGTCAACCGTCCCTCACTCTATGCGAATGATCAACCAACTTCGAGCCAAAAATATTGAAAACAGCCTAGTTTAGGGTGAGGGTGAAAAAGATCCGTTCAACCTATTCGAGAAAGATCCAAAATCTGACGTCGTCATTTTCTATTCTCTTGCTTTTTGAGGCAGTTGTTCTGAAGGCAATCTTGTGCAAGGACATCCCATTTAGTAATAGTTGCGGAATACCATAGTAGTGTGTGCACTTTTCTCGATCCTTGGGTGACAATCATCATGTTCTTGAGCAGGTTCCTCCTCGTTTGGGTAGTAGCAGCATTGTCTGCACCATCCTTTTATTGCCAGGCCCTTCAATTGGGTGGAATATTTTCATCGGGCCGCAACAAGAACCAACCAAGAAATGACGAACGAAAAATCCAAGCCGCCGTCTTGGTACCAGGGTTCTTGACGGGAGCCAGTGAATTCCAGTCTCTTTGTGACAACCTAACCGAACGTGGGTTGCCGACTGTGGCAGTCCCCATGCCTGCATGGCATTGGCTGCCCTGTTTGGGCGGTCGTTCGGCGAGACCCATATTGGAACGCATCGATTTTACCGTCCAGCATTTGATTGCCGCAGACGGTGACATTACCAAAGTTCCTTCCTTTCAGTATTCGCTGAAAGATGCCTGGGAAGATTTTTGGACCAATCCTGGAGGTGTGGCACAAGTGGGAGGCTCGCAGCGAGTGGACGAATATCCCATAGTGGAACCACGAGGGACATTTGATCTGCCCGAGCTGCCACCCAATGCCGGCAAAATTGCACTCATTGGGCACAGTGCGGGAGGATGGATCAGCCGAGCTTATTTGAGCAGTCGAAGCTACGGTGGAAAAGCATACGAAGGAAGTAAATACATTCATTCTCTTGTCACGTTGGGGACACCCCATCAAAGTGCTCCTGGGCCTGCTTTTGAAGGAGTCCAATGGTGCAACGAAGAGCCAGCACCAGTTCGCTCCTTGGCCGTGGGAGGAACTGGATTCAAAGGAGACGAATGGGGAGCCATGACGCAGGGGGCGTACTCGTTTTGCTGCAATCAAGGAACGGATGGAACGAGTTACACGGGTGATGGCATGACACCTATTGATTCGGCTCTGTCATTTGATGGTGCGGAACAATTGGCGATTCAAAATGTTACGCACTTTTCCTGGGACACATTTGGAGCGGAATTTGTTGCACCAGAGTTGGCAAAGGATTACTCAAACGGCCGTCCGTGGTATGGCAGCAAAGGTATCGTAGAGAAATGGGCAGACTGGATTGTTCAGCACGCGTAGTATGGTACGGTACCATCCGATACTGTATGAAGCGCAGCTAGTAGATCACCCAAGAAAGCACAATGGCAACAATCAACAGAGCTTTGCTTGGAGCTACTTTTATTCACCAACACTATTTTATCGCGCATCAGGCACTTTGCTTCGCCCGTTTGATCAACTCTTCGACGAAATCGAATGATTCATCATTCAATCGAATCGAATCTTCAATCAGGTAGAGTGGCTGATCTGAATTATTCCACAAACTCC